CTAGCCGGGTGTAGTGTGGCAGGAATGTGCTGGACGTCTTCTGCGGCAATGACCCAGGGGCAGCAGACAGGAGGCCCCAGAAGGGGCCCTGGCTGATGTTGAGGTTGGGAGGGTCTGGTTACTGCTGGTGTCTTGCAGTCGCCCACCCCAGCAGCAGGGCAGGGGTGCGGGTGGCCCCAAGCCATAGGTCCCCCTCACCTGCTTTTCCCCCTCCTCCAGATTTTCTTCTTCTGCTTCAATTTTCTGAAGCACATCACCTCACTGGAGTTCTCAGCTGCACCGCCGCCCAGGTGAGGAACCCGCGCCTGCCAGAAGAGCTTGTTAGTGCTGCTGCTGCAGGGAGATGCAAGCCCTGGTGTCCTGGCCCACTTTCCCTTAATGTATTCTGTGCTCAGAAGGCTGCAAAATGGGGCCGAGGCCTGGGAGGTGCCGAGGCTGCCCGGGCTGGGAGGAGCTCTCTGCTTCATGCCGCATCCAGAGGCTTCCTGAGCACAGATGGGCCTTGGAGCACGAGGGCTCCAGGCTGCTTGGGCCACCAGGTGCCGTGTGAGCCAGGAGGTTGGGGGCTATTGTACTGCTGAGCAATGTCCCCTGCAGCTCTGCCAGCCCTCCCTAAGGCTTCTCTCTGCTCTGGGGCAGCCACTGGCTGGTGTTCTGCTGCCCCTGTCCCTGCTCCAGCCCTCCAGCATGCTGGGGCTGCGGCTGGGTCCCTTCCAATTCAAGCCACATCTGGGGTTGGGGGTGAACCAGGGAGCCTGTTGTCCCTGCCCCTCGAAGGGACAGTGGGTCTCACAGCAGCTGTGAGGAGAGCCAGACCACGTTGGGGCCCCCCCTCCCTGGCCTGGTGGGTGGCAGCAGAGGTCTCCATCCTTCCAAGCCTGCCAGGGGCATGAGGATCCAGCTCAGACTAGCCCCTCTCTGGGTCTACACTGTGTTGCTGACTGTCCTTCTGTCCCCAGGCGGAAAAGCTTGCCCCCCGGCTTCACTCTGGAGGAGATCTGCATGCTCCGTGAGTACTACCACAGTGCTGGCTGGGTCCCTCAGGGCAGGCCCCTTGGTGCCCAGCATGTCATGTTGGGTCACATCTATGGCATTCATAGTTACAGAGCAGTGGGGCTGGCAGGGACCTGCAGAGGTCACAGCTAGTCCAACCCCCAGCCTGTGGCAGGATTAGCCCTGTCCAAACCAGCTCGGACAAATCCGTTGTCCAGCAGCTGAGCAAAACCACACGGTCACCCTGACAGCACCAGGCATCACACCCAAACCTGCTGCAGGTAGAGTATGGGGACCATAGTGGCCAATGTCGTGCTGCTGCTGTAGAGGTGGCTAATTTATGTTCAAGAGATCCAAGGAAGAGGCCGTGGCCCCCACTACAGATGAAGGCAAAAGCCCCATGGTCTACCAGTCCGGTCACTGGGTGAAATTCCTTCCTGACCCCAAATACGGCATTTGGCCTGACCCTGAGCAGAGGGGCAAGACCCTCCAGCTTTGTCGCAACAGGAACACTGGTGTAGCCCAGTTCCCGTCCCCAGCCCGGGCAGCAGCCAACACCCACTGTGTCATGGAGAGACTCAAGAACCCCGATGTGTAGTGGCAAAGGTGGGGTGGGGGGAGCAGTTCCCTCCGCCCCACGCTACAACCAGCAGAGCCCAGAAGCCTGGGAAATCCCCATAGTAGAGCACAAGCATTGCCAAACCTAGATCACCCTGCCCAGTGGCTGCCCAGCCTCCTCTTGGACACCTCCAGTCATGGAGAGTCCACAGCTTCCCTAGGCCTCTATTCTGCTGCCTCACTGCTCTGACAGTGAAGAAGTGTTTCCAGATATCCAGTCTAAACCTGCTTTGCTGCAACTGCCAGCCTTTGGTCCACGTCTTGCTCTGCAGCAAGAGAGAAAAGGTGCTTTCCCTCTTCGGTATGGCTGCCCTTCAGGTTGCATTCCCTTCTGCTCTTTACTCGTCCCGGATCTGGCCCTGGCCAGCGAAGTGGTGGCGGAGGGGGGTGAGAGGCATGCGTTCCTCTGCTCCTCATTGGAAATCAGTTGTTCGTGTCTCCCTTTCTCAGAGCAGAGGGACCGGGGCAGCACAACGAGCCTGAGCAGTGACTTCTCCCTGGGCGTGGAGAGCTCTCCCGGAGTGGTTGGGAGCTTCACCTACGAGGCTGTGGAGCTGATGCCAGCAGGAGCCCAGGCCCAGGCAGCCTGGTAAGAAGCTGGCCTGGCACATAGGCCGTGCAAGCTTGGCCAGAACAGGGCTGAGCACCGAGGGAAGCAGGTGTCGCATGCCCCCACAGTGCCCTGCTTGTGCAGTGCAGCTGATGGCTGGTTGCTGCAGCTTTCCACTCCGGTCAGGAGCCAGGGGGAGACCAGCTGCAAGCAGTATGAATACTGTCAGCATTACAGGACACTGGGGCCTGACCGAAAAGGCAGGAGATCCCTACCTTTGGCTGTCTCCTGCTGCTGGGGTAGGCCCGAGTCTATGGTCAGGGCAGAGCAGCTGTTCACACAGTTTGCTCACCTGGTTCCTAGATGCACTAGGACTGGGGACGCTCCCTGGAGCAGAGCTGGGTACTGGTGCCCCATTGGCAGCCCATGCTCCACAGCCTTCCCTGCCCATCAGGCCCGCCGCTCCCAGCGACTTGAGAAGAACGTGCGTGGTGGAAGGAAGACGAGCAGCAGTTGTCTCCCCTCCCCCACTCCTCTGAGGTGCTGGAGATGCCAGCTGGGTGCAGGGGGATTAATCAGGAATGTAGGTTACCCAAGCAAGCCGCACTCTGCTGTCAACAAGAACGGGGATAAAGCAGCTGGGAATCAATGCAGCCTGGGAGCTAGAAGCTTCCTGCCCCTGGGCCATCCTCCCCGCCTGGCCCTGCCAGCCTTTGCCGTGTGGCTGGACCCACTCATGGGAGGGGTGACCTGGAAGGCCAGGTCTGGACTCGAGGCCCAGGACCTCCCTGCTGGGGCAGCATCCAGCTGGCCACTCCTTGGAGCTTTCTAGAGGAGGCTCTGAGCAAAGGACGCCCTGTGTGGCATTGCTAAGATAGAACGGGGCTGTCCTGGCCATGCTGGCCTGAGTCCCCTTCAGGTTGTGTTTCTGGCAGCCTGCCCGGAGAGCCTGACGCTGAGCTGGGCTGGGGATTTCAGAGCCTTTCTCTGGGCTTGCCCCGCTCAGTTTAATTTTGCCTCTCCTCTCCCTGAACACAAGCGCTGAGGCCATTTTACACTGCAGTTAGTTTCAATTAAATCTGGGCCGTGCTGGGAGGCAGCTGAGCTCCTCTGGGCGAGAGGAAGTTGCAGCTGCTGGCAGTGTGGCCTTCTGAAAGCCCATTGCAGTGCAACAAGGGGAGGGGAAGGGAGCTGGCTTGTCAGGTTGTGGGGGAGGGGACCACGTAGTGCCTGGGCTGACACAGGAGTGGTGGCCAGTTTGCAGCCACAGCCACACCGCTGTTCCTGCCATGATCTGCAGCCCTGCCCATCACCAGGGGCATGGAGGCAGTAACAGAGCAGTTAGGATCTTGGTGTGGGAGACTGCACAGGGCACCAGGTGGCATCTGGGCTTGTGCTTTTGGGCATCCCCCCCATCCAAACCACTTGCCCAGGGTGATGCTCTCAGTGACTGCACATCTGCTCTGGTGTTTTTTGAAGTAGGCCATGGACCAGCGCGGCCCTTCCCAGCAGGGAGCTTCTTGCTTGGGCCAGGCTGATGCTGGATGGACCGGCGTGTCAGAGCGTGTGTGTGGGTGGATGGAGCCAGTGGGCATCTTGCTTCTTGCTCGTGTGGGTGCAGACAGGGAGCTCCAGCAGAGCAACAGGCTGGCTGGGCAGATCTTGGTGGGCACTGATGGGCCTGGCAGGGCTGGAGGTTGTGATCTGAGCAGCTGTGCTTGAAGCACGCACGTGAGGCAGCTGTTTCACCCCAGGCTCGCATCTTCTGGGCAGGAAGAAGAACCGCTCCTCATCACCACATGCTGCTCTCTGGAGCCGGGCGCAGCTGTCTGAAGACGGGCCAGCTGCCATGGGGTCACTCGAAGCCAAGTCCTCCAGCTCATCCTCATCCAACCACTCTGACCACTTTCTGCGCATTGGGAGTAGCCCGCTGGAGGTGCCCAGGCCCAGGTGAGCTGCACAAAAGAACAAAGCTCGTCTTGGCCAAAAGGGGGGCAGTTGCATCTGCGCAGCTTGGAGCTGCTGTGTTAGGACAGCCCAGTGGGGGCTCAGGTCTTGTCTTTGCACAGGGCAAAACAGGGCAGCAGGCCAGGGCCTGGGGAGAGTTGCTGTGGGGAGCCTGGGTGCTGGGCCTGCAGAGGAGGCTGGGCCTTCTCGCATGCCTACAGCCTGGCGGGGGACAGTCGATGGCTTGCTGTGAGCCTCAGAGGCAGGGTCTCCAGGTTCCCGTCAGCTCGTTGCTGGTGACTGCCATCCAAACCCACCCCATGAGCACTGCTAACCTCGGGCAGACGTGCCATAAAGGGAAAAGGTTTCCTTCCTGGTTTTCCTTGTTCTCTGTCCCCTGTGGGGTGTTTACAGCGGGGCAGGCCAGGGGCTGAGGGGGCCCTCGGCATGGTGTTCAGCCCTTGCTGCTGGAGTGTGATCCTGTTCTCTCCAAGATGAACTTGGAGAGGTGCCGGGGGAGGGAGGGTGGGAAGTAGGGAGGAAGTGCGGTCATAGAGATGGAAGCTGCTGTTGCTGGCACCTGGTGGCTGGAGAAACAGGCCCAGCTTCTGTGGTCTTGTCTTCGCCCTTTGAAGACCTGGGGAGCTATTCCTAGGCTGGTGAGCGAGCGCTGATCCCTGGTCGTGGGCACACAGCATAGGAGGGAGAAGAGGGGGGACCTGGCATGGGGAATGCAGGGAGGAGGCAAGGTGGGGAGGTTGAAATGGCTGCGGGGTCGGGGGAAGTTGCGAGGGTGACAGCAGGAGCCTGGAACTTGTCCCCCAGCGGCCAGGACTTGGCCGAAGCCGCTGCAGTTGGTCTTTGTTCCCCTCCCTCCCTGCCTGCAGCTGGCCTGGAGGAGGATGGCCCAGCAGTGCCACCCTGGATAGGGGCTCCCAGGACGTGTCAGCAGCTGCAATAGTGACTCTTGTTCCTCCCCATCTGGAAGCCACAAAGTGCCCGCGTGGCTTAGGAGCATTGCGCCTCTGGCTGCATCTGTGCAGGTCAGCATCTCACAGGACCCGCATGTGAACTGGCAGCAAGTGTCTCCAGCTGGAGCGCTCCATCCTGGAAGGAAGAGGAGGTTGGACTTCAGCACTGAGCTGGAGGGACAAGGGGCAGACCTGAGAGGACAGGAGGATGCTGGCATGTGGGTGGAGCTGTCACTGGGACCCACCAAGCAGTCACGTGGAGGAGCAGAGCACGTGGCGGGTGCTGCTGCCGGAACACGCGCGTCTCCATGGTGGTAGCTTCAGGGCAGCATCTGGGGAGGTTTTAAGCTGAGAAAATGACTGCACTTGACTTCTGATCCTGGTTGTGTGGCCATGGCAACAGAGTACTTAGCCACTGCCGCAGAGCAGGGAGGATGGTCCTTCCTGCCAGGCCAGCAGCCACTCGAGGCAGCTAAATATAGCCAGGCAGCATGGAGAGCCCACGGGGGGAGGGTGCTGGGCAGGGGGAAGCTGGCTGCACAGCCCCAGAAGCTCCTGCTGGTGTTTCATCGGGATGTCCTTGGGAGACAGCTGCCAGCATCACCTGGTCAGCACGTGCCCGCACCCAGCTGGACACAAGAAGCTTTGTGGTTGCTGTCTTCAGTGAGCCAGCTGGGCCCCTGGACAAGGCAGCCTGAAAGCAGGCCAGTGTGCTGGGCCTCTGAGCTGCTCCCCCTCTGTCCCACCTCCACCACGTGCCGCTTGCCAGAGTGCTGGGCACAGACCTCTGCAGAGCAGTGGTGGCAGCTGAGCAGGGCAGCCCGTCCACGTAGGCACCCGTGTGTGGTCAGCAGTGCTGCTGGCCCCAGCTCCTTGCTCTGGGGCCAGGGCGGATGGGCAAGACGGAGCCCCAGCCTGCGGTGTGTGCTAATGAGATCCGTGCCTGCATCAGGGCATTAGTGCACGCTGCTGACACTAATGTGGATTAGCAAACAAGATCAGCCGCGCCTGAATGGGCTTTGCTAAGTCCTGTTAAACAGACCCGAGTGCGGCGGGAGCCCGACTGCCAGGGATCTGTCGACGGCGGTGGCGGGAATTATAAGGGACTATTGTACTGGCTGCTGCAGCCTGTTCTGCAGCGTCGCTGCGAATACAGAGCCAGGCCCAGTCCAGCTGGTGTCTGAGCCTTCTCTTGCTGCTGCTCTGGGGCCTGGTAGCTCCAGGCTTTCGGACTCCCACTCAAGCAGCGTCAGCTAGTGTGGGGCGTGTTTGCCTGTTGTAGGGTCATTTATGGTTCTGGACCGACTCATGGATTTGGACTTGATTTGGCTTGGAACAGGGAAAAAAAAGCAGCGTCAGCAGCTGGGCCCCATGCTGGGCAGCAACGGGGCTGGACACCGGACTGCAGCTGGGGGTGGATTGCCTGAGGCTGGGAATGTTCCAGGAGCTGAGGGTTGGAGCTGCAGCTCTGCCAAGCCTCCCTCTGGCACCTGGGCCAGTGCTAGTGCTGCACCATGGCCTAGCCGGTGCCCACAGAGCCTGGCATGGCTGAGGGTAGCCAGAGCCAAGTGCTGCTTCCCAGCTGCTTCCAGGTGAGCGCTGGGAGTCCCCCCCCCATTCCCACCCCGTGCAGCAGGTGTCTAGTCTCTGCCTACTCCGCTGACAGGGATGCCAGTGTCCAAGCTCCATTCTAGCTCCTGGTAACCAGGCAGGGAGGCGTTACCCACTCGCACTGCACTGTGCTGTTGCCCAGGCCCACGAGAACCATCCCTTTCACTGGCTGATGGCTCCGTGCATGACCATTGGTGGAGGGTGGGCGGCAGGCAGGGCAGCAAGGCGTGGCTGGCATGTGTCCAGCTGCCGTGGGAAAGGATCTGTGGCTGTGCCAACACCTGCTGCCTTGGATCGCTGGTCGTGGGCACGTGTCCGTGCATTCAGCATGCTGCGGGGCATCCTGCAGGGGAGGCAGTGCCTGGGCAGGAGCAACCTACTTAACAGGAGCCATGTTGGGCAGCAGCTGCCAGGCCTCAGCCTGCCTGGGGAGCCCACAGGTGCTGTGGCCCATGCCTGTGCTCAGGCTCGGCTCTGGGCTGCTCTTTGCTCGCCAGTCTCACACTAGCCTCTTACCTCTGCCCTGCTCATGGCCCGACAGCAGTCCCCCTCCTGCCCCTATCCCTGCCATAGACCTTGGTCTCCTCTGCCCACAACTGAGAGCCGATCTGCCTGGCCCTCCCCATCATGCCCGGGTGGCTGCTGTCCTAGGTCTGTGGTATTCATGTCCCAGGGGCAATTGCAGTTCTGATGTGGTTATGGGAACCCGGGTCCTTGGGGAGATGAAGGGAACAGCAGGCCCAGGCTGCTGGACACCCCTTGGGCTCAGCTTGCAAATGGTGACGTGTTTAAATGAAAAATATTGGCCCCACTGGAGGTCCGGGAAGCTGAAACTCTTGCTGCAGAATTCGGGGGGCGGTGGGGGGGGCTGCAACTCAGGGAAGGGCAGCTCTTTTGGGGAGGGGCTGCTCTAGGTGACTCCTAGCAAAGTCAGCAGCGCTTGATGCCTCAAACCTGGCACCTGCACGTGAAGGCACTTCCCAGGGCCTTGGGAGCTCAGCCACTGCCGCTGGTCCCCTGAACTGTAAGTCCTCGGGGCAGAGGCTCTTTCTGTCTCGGTCTCTGGAGACGTGGCTGTTGCGGGGCCTGTGCTGCCCAGAGCTTCCCTGTCTCCTCCTCTGAGCTCTGCTGCTGTCCGTTAGCAGCAGCCAACAAGCTTTCAGCCAAGCCTGTGGAGGCCCCTGACCCTGGCGGGGAGGAGGAGGAGAGCTAAGAGCCAGGCAGGCTGGGTGGGAGCCCGGTTGTGGCTGCCTGGGGGCTGTTCAAGTGCAGTCGGTCTCGCCTCTTTGCCATGCGTCTTCCCTCGCACCGTTTGGACATCAGGGGTCCTCCCAAGGCTGAAGGGGCCTGTGGTCCCCAGCTGTAGCTGCCTCAAACTTGGCATAGACAGGGCCTTGGCTCCTGCTGCTAACGCTTAGGGGAACTGGAGGCGTCCGTCTCTGGCCTCCTGCAGACAGACGAAGCATCTCCACCACGTGACCCTTCGGAGCTCAGCATGGGCAGCTGTTGGCTGCAGCCCTGGAGATGCCAGGAGTCGTGGGCACAATGCAAAGGGAAAGGCCCAGGGACCTGCTGCCATAGGTTTGCTTTGCCTCTGCGCTGCCCAGCTCCCTGCCACACCGTGGGTGGTACCACCTGATGCACGCTGCTCTGCAGGCCCTGAAGGTTTCGTTTGCTCCCCAGAGGCCAGGGACATGAAGACTCTCGGTCAACACTGCCGTGGCTCTTCAAGGCTTTCACTCACGTCTGCCTGTCCTGGTGGGAGGCTGCATGCCCGAAGCTACGTCCCCTCCCTCAGCTGCTGTTCCTGTCCTGATGAACATCTCCCAGCTGGCCTCTGCCACACCACCCATCTGCCAATGCATGGATGTGCAGCATCGCTGGACGGGGCACGGGTGTAGCTGCTCCAACCCATCCAGCTGTGGTGCCTCAAGGCTAACTTGCTTCCCAGTGGCGGCCAACGCGGGGATGTTGAGATGTCTCCCAAGCCACCACCTGTGCTCTGAGGCACCAGAGCTGCCACGCTGGTGCCTGTCCTTGGGGCCCTGCAACCACAGGAGGATGTGAGAGCAGTGGGCGCATGCCCTTTGCAGGGCCAGCCTGTGCCTGGTATTCAGGCAGGATCTTGCTCATGGCTTCATAGACTCCTGCATGGCCTCTGCTTCTTGCTAGCTTTGCCCAAGTGGCTCACGGAAGGACTTGCTTCTTTACAGGCCTCAGCCAGCTTGGCTTCTCCTCTTGCTGTTGGAGGAATGGTCTGACTTATGCTCCGTGCTGGCACATTTCATCACTGCAGGCAGGATGCCATTGTCCGTGCTTGTGGGCACGCTGCGCTGGCCAGCTGTGCAGCTAGAGGCTTGTGGTTACTGGCTTGACTGACTGCCCCCATCTCCCCTCTCTCTGCCCCAGATCAGTGGACTGTTCCCTGCCTGGCTCCTCCGTTTCTACAGACTTTGGCAGCTGGCAGCTGGTGTCGGGGTGTGGCAGCATTCAGGAGCAGGCGGTCCTGAGCGCAGATGCCTCCCTCCCTTGCAGCCTCCTGGACGAGCTCCCTAGCAGCTGCCTGTAAGTGCACCAACAAAGCCCAAGGCCCTTGTGTGGCCGGGTCTGTGACTGTGGCCCGCAGGGCAGGCCAGAGCTGTGTTACCACCCTACCCCCGGGTCCCTCCCTGCCCTAGCGCGCACAGGAAGAGGCTTCTGCCAGGGAGCAGCCCACAGGGTGCTGAGGAAGGTGCGCGCCTGAACGCTGAGAGCTACTGTGGCCTCTCCTGTGGCTGCATCTGGTTGGGACCTGGGTTGGCGAGCGAGCTGGGCTGGCCGGCCTTTCCCCAGCCCCTCGCCTCCACCTCCCAGCCACGACCCAGACCTTGGAGGACTGGGGTTCCCCGCTCTCGCTCTGCCTGGACTTGTCCAGCCAGAGCGATGGCTGTGCCCTTGCAGGGACTAGGCCAGGGTGTGGGGCCGAGTGCCCGGCATTTGCGGCCTGGAAGCGTTAGGAAGCAAGTGGTCCCTCAAGGGCGAGATCCTGCGTGGGACTTCCGGGGATGCTCTCCTTCCTCATCGTGGGCTCACTGCCAGGCTGGCTGCTGCAGTCTGCTGCTGCCCTGTCAGCTTGTCCTGTGCTTGATGGCAGCACTGCCCCTGCCTTAGCACAGGCTGAGCCCAGGCCTCAGGGAGCCTCCAGCAAGGGTATGCAGATGAGAGCAGGAGACGTGGACAGCAGCGGTCTCCCAGGAGCCCTGTCAGCACAGCCAAGCTGCCCGGCAAGAGTGACCCTCTGTTCCCTGGGCCACAATCGGCTCCTGTGCCTTGTTGAACACCAGCACCCAGGCCCACCGCGAGTGGCTTTGGACATGGGCCGGAAGCCTAATGAGTCACTGCTGCCCCGGTGGCGTGGGGACGAGGATGGAGCATGCCAGGTGTGCAGCCCGGTGAGCTGGAGCAGTCTGCATGCGCTGCCTGGGCCTGGGACACAAGTGAGAACAGCTGCAAGTGTCGGGGCCATGCTGCGGCTGCAGGGGCTGGTCGCTGCTGGAGCCCTGAGCCGAGGAAGCATCCAGCCACAGCTGCTGCCAGGACGAGGAAGACTTCTCCTCCCCCCTGCCCTTGACCTCTGTTAGCCACCCTGCTCCTAGGAAATCTTGGCTGAGACTGGCCTGATCTGCCCCAGCTGCAGGCGGCTGCTGCTTGCAGGCCACATGCTGGGCCACCCCCGCCGCTGACGGCAGACTGCCAGCCTGCGGGCGAGGAGTCCTGCAGGTATTGTCTCCCAGCTGGGTCCATGATGCTGCCCCTCTGTGCAGCTGCGGGCTGTGGCCAGCTCTGAGGAGTGCTCGGCTGTGGTGCGGATGCTGCCTGTCTCCGGCCGAGCCCCTCCCTGTGCAACTTCCAGGGCGGGCAGAGGTTTTCTAGCTTCTATTGTGCTGAAGGTGCTGGTTCCTTGGAAACCAGCTCTAGGCTGGGCTCGCAGCTTCGCTGTTGTGCACCTGTGGCTGCGTCGGGGCTGCCGCGTGCCCTTAGTGCCCGCATGGTGCCCGAGCCCAGTGGGGCATGCAGCAGCGGGCAGCCAAGGGCCTGGAGCAGCTTGCGGGTGGTGCCACCGCAGGGCCAGGCCCTCAGGCTGCCGGCCATGGAGGACAGCCACCCCTCAAAGGCCAGCAGACTGAGCCGCCTCAGGGGGAAGCAGCCCAGGATGCAGGGCTGGGTAAACAGTCCCTGGTGCTGCCCGGGCATTGCTTCTCAAGCCTCCCACCCTCTCCTTGCTGCTGCTTCCGGATGGAGCTGCTGGCAGGGGGTGGCTGACACTTCCCTTCAGACGAGCTGTGCCAGGTTGCGGCCCGGGAAGGCTTGCGCGCGCCCTTGGAGCAACCTCTGCAAAACCTCTCCAGGGACGTGTGACAGGGCACGGTCAGCGTCTTGGAGCCATGCATGTGGCCTGCCCCCTCGCCCCCAGCGAGTGGCCTCGTGGCCCTGCAGCCCCCGGCTGGGATGGGTGGGGGGGAATTGCCCCCAGAGGCGCCGGGCGGCCTGTGGGAGCTGGTGCCAGCAAGGCCAGGAGCCCTCTCCCCAGCAGGCAGGGCTGGCTGCACAGGCCGGCGCCGCCGTGGGAGCTCAGAGCTGGACTCGCCCCGGCCCTGAGGGGGGTGAACGCGCCTGGGCTTCGGGCCAGGGAGGGGCTGGCGCGTCCCTCGAGCTGGGCGGCTGAGCCTGCGGCAGGGGTGGCGGGTCCGGGCTCGGGGGGAGCTGCTGACCGTCCCTCTCTGCCCGTCTGTCTTGCAGGCTGGGGCCCAGCAAGGACCGTGCAGCCCGGCTGGAGGAGGTGCGCGCTGCCTTCCTGGCCGCCTACAGCCGCACGCTGGGCCTGCGCTCGGCCGCGCCCGGCCCCGCCGGCACCGGCGGCAT